AGAAAACATAGCTAGAGTTGCGACAGAGTTGCATTGTCTTCAGTTTATCAAGTTTATTCAGTGAAATCGCTGGATAAATTTATCAGAAATGTGTAAACGAGTTTCCATACAAATTTTGACAGTTCATTTATAAGGTTTACACAATTATAAGTTTATACGGTTTACAATGCATTTATAAGGTTTGATGAATACCCTTAATGCAAGTAAAGAAGGTTTATGCAGATAAGCGAGCGCGTTTGTTAACCGTATAAAATGTATGTACGTATATACACATATATTCAGAATGACGAGATGAACTAGTTCAGCCCTCTCTGTTTGTAAACACGCTAACTCGAACAAAATTTAGTTATTTTAACGAAAGTCGGTGTCGAAGTTGCCTTTGGTATAATTTAGGTTAGTGTTAAATTTTGTCGAAATCTGCCAATAACCACGCCCACCTCCCACGTAGTAATTAACAATATTTTTGTTTTATTATAATTTGTTTTACGAATTTTGCTGTTCAAATTTACATTTCAAATATATCAACAAACATTTGTAGGTACTTTTGCACCAGTTGTTGCCTATGGGTTAATGACAAAAAAATCCTATATATTCACAACATTTCATGTATTAGTTTTCAATTAAGCATATTGTCAATGGCTGGTTTGCTGTATACTGTGATTTTTTTCAGTTTTCAAATATGAAAACTTTCAAAACAAAATTTCAGAAGGGTTCCTGTTTTTTTTAAAGGGGTTGAGGAGTTCCATTACTTTGAGCAACTTTTTTAATTAACTATTAATTTAAATGTTTCCTAAACATATTTACAACGCAGTTCTGCAAGAGGGTACCATAACTTTTTTTCAAATAACGTATATTTGGAACAACCAAAATTAATCGATATGGATACATACATTTATGTTCGTATGTACTACTTATGTATGTATATATACATAAAAATGCTCAGAATAAAAAGGGAAGATGATTAGTCCATGCCCGTTTCTCTCTCTGCTCTAGCAAAAGTTGAGATATCTCAACCAAATTCTGTACGAGGGTTTTTTATCTAGGGCAGCAGGGTATTGAAAATACAAAAGTCGAACAATAACCTGGTCCCTCTCATAAAATGGTAATTTCGAAAAATGCCAAAACTACAATATTTCCTTAATTACAGGAACCAAATTAAATACTGCCATGTTTATTATTATAGTTTTGGAAAATGGACATGGGATATATTGCTAGCTTTAAACATCAATTTGCTCAAAACATACGTTTAGAACAGTGTGCAAGCTGCTACCACATGTGTGGTAGATCAACCACGTATTTTTTTTTAAATTTGGGTGTCTACCACATCTACCACACAAGGCTTAAAATCTACCGCATTTTAGACAGAACATTTGTTTACAATTTTCCCATAACTCTAGAATTTCAACTCAATTGTAATTCGAAATATAAAAATTAATTCAATTATCAAATTCAAATTAATCAATAGATTTTTAAAAAGGTACATCATAAATTTTGCTTTAAATATATCTGTGCCTTAACTTTCTAATATTTCAAAAATACGCCTATTTATATTTGCTAAAGTATTATGCAATGGGAAAATAATTTGGTCGATTTTTTTGCTTACAAATAAAATATTCTTTTCTTCATGATTATATTCTCTAACTAGAAAATTAATGTTATACTTGTTTTTGCACCAATTGCGTGGAATCTGTACGATCCACTAGCAATTATATTTCCCGATTTAATTTTTGAGTTGTGTGTTTTTGAGTTTTGACGACGGTGAGCGATATGTATACCCAATAAAATATGAATTGGAAAATCTACCACATCTTATTCAAATCTACCACATTTTTTTTTTCGATTATACCACACTAAAATAAAAAGGGGTTTGCACACAGATTTGTTAAATCTTTTTTTGAGAAAAGTTGATAATTTGCAACTTATTGTAAATGGTAGAAACCACCACAAACCCACAAATCAGGTTTTAGAATCTTTATTAAATGCTTGACCCAATAGCGAAGAAAAAAGTACGAAGAAACTTGTATTAAGAATTTTTATTAATAAATAATAAAATGTATATATCTAAAGTTAGAAGTAGAATCGCTTAAATTTGTTTACTTATTTTAACGTAGATATATAGGTATGTACATATGTAATAATTTCTGCACATACCTTTTATTGGTACATTGGTAATACTTATTTAGAAAGCTGACAATTTTCGAAACAGAGATGTAAAAATCGTTAATAATTAACATTTTTCATAATGACATTCTTGGCAGAAAAATATTTCTCTAATTAATATTTTCATTTATTATAAATATTTGTACAAATTTAAGTGAAACAAATTAGTGATAACGCTCAATAAACTATTTTTCGTGTTGAAATTTTGAAATCTGTTCAATAAAATTCAACCTTGCGTATTTTTCAGTGGGTTTTGTGTATTTAGAATATTTATATCGATTGATTGGTACTGAATGAATGTGTGCACACATAGCAAAAGCTGCATTCATCTGAATGCTTATTCAGTGTTAAAAGTTAATGTTTCGTCATTCAGTTTTTTCAATCTTTCTTTGAATATGTTAATGTGTGCAATCGTATCTACTTTGAGTGAATGTAGAATTGGAAAATTATAAGCCACATTCCCCAACAAGGAAAAATTCAATGAAAACATAATAACATAAAATTGATGATTTTTAATTTCATATGATTTCACAGTTTTACAGCTCTGATATTTATGTATGTACATAAATAAGTGAATAGGTTCTTGAGTGATCATTTGTTTTTCAGTTTTTTTGCCATTTAATTTAGTTCGCGTTTTATTTTCTTTGAAGATACTTTGACCCTCACGCTTTCGGCAATAACTGAATTGAGTATCTGAAAGCCTGAAAAGCGCCAAACGCCTAAAAATCTTGTGGTATAGTTGTGCTCTAAATGTATGGCTAACGAATAACGCCAAAAATGGACGAACAGTAAAAAACAATCGGACTATCGACTGCAATACCAAAATTTTAATATTTATACTAATGAAGTGCTAACGTCGGCTGGGTAAATCATTTGAGTTTACGAACCTCAAAGGCCTAGGAATTACCCTGTCATGATACAAAAATTCTTGTATCATGTTACCCTGTGGACGATCAAAAAACGACTTGGCAATCAAGTTCAATTTGTTGACGTTTCATTTTCTATTTACAAAAACAAAGACAAAAGCACAGGTGTTGAGTGGGCAAAATTATCTGCAAACCATTTACCAATCAAAATTTAAAAACAAACATGGATTTAACAATATTAATTGGTATTGCTACAGCTCTTTTAGTAATTCTCATAGGAATGCTTATTTTCCAGAGGAAAAATAATGCAGGTAAGTTGCATATATTGCAAGTGTTTTTCATAAGATTACCTGTCTCTCAAACATTCACAGGCACACCTGACAAACCAGCTCAACGGGGAGTGCCTATACGAGCACAGGAAGGCGTTCCTAGACGAGCACAGATTGCTCGAAATCAGCGTAATCGCCTCAGACAAAACGCTGCAGCAATTGCAGTAGCAGGGCAAGCATTAGACAATGCTCAAGTCGCTAATGATGACAACGAAGATGGAGAAGATGACATCCCATCTGGGCAAGCTATGGATGAAAAGATGGGTGCAAAGAAGCGTGCTAAGATGGAAGCAAAGGAACAGAAACGTTTACTGCGCGAGCAAGAATTGAAGCAGCGCGAAGAACGCAAAGAGAAAGAGGCTAAACTGGAAGCCGAACGTAAACAAAAGGAGGAGCGTGAAGAGGAAGCTGAACGTAAGGCATCAGAGGCCGAGCGTTTGGCACGGGAAGAACATGAACGCAAAGAACATGAGGAATATTTAAAGATGAAAGAAGCTTTTAAGATCGAGGAAGAGGGTTTCGAAGAAGCGGAAGATTCCGAGAAAGAGAAATTACTGGAAGGCTTCATAAAGTATATAAAGGAAAATAAAGTAGTTGTGCTAGAAGATTTGGCAATGGAATTTAAGTTAAAAACACAACAAGTGATTGATCGTATACAAGACTTACAAGCCAATGATACACTAACTGGAGTGATAGATGACCGAGGAAAATTTATCTATGTGTCGCAAGAAGAATTACTTGAGGTAGCAAAGTTTATAAGACAACGTGGACGTGTTTCTATAGTAGAGCTGGCTGAAAGTAGTAATAATCTTATAAATTTGACACCTGTTTCAAGTGCTTAAATGGTTAATTTCAAAAATTTTACATCAAATTTAGAGTAAAAACTCCTTCACTTGACTATTGCTTTAGTGGGTATTGAACAAATTTACGTATCTCCAGTTAAAAAATTATTTTAATACTTACAATATATATGTACATGCGCGATAATAAAAAATAGACTTTAAAATGCAGAATAATTTATTAATCCGACATTTCTGCGTCGTCATCCATATCCATTTCATAGTCATCTTCCTCATCTTCGCTAGTCTCATCGGGATCAGTAGCTTGCAATTGACATTTAGGGCATTGACATACGAATATGTAGTTTTCTTTAAGGATCTGTGTAAAATATAAATTTTGGAGAATCCTAGATACATATTTTGAATAGACTTACCTTTTGTCTAGAATGCCTGCTGCGCTCCAATTGACATTCATCTAAATAAGAAATGCAAATCTCTTCACCCGTCTGTATAGGGGCGACTGCCTTCAGTACCACAATGTCATTCGAGTAAGGAAAGGTAGATTGAGCATTAGGCATGCAACTGTGATTTATTTTACTCTGCAGAAGATAGAGGCCAGCACCTTCAGTGTTAAGGAACTCTCCAGCGACTAAAGTAAATAAAACTCAAGAACAATAACATATCCAACCCCACAAAACCCATTTTACTAACATTCTCCAACTTTGTTGTATATATCGTCAATATATTCGTCAAGTTTTACTTTATCTTCTTCCGGTAGTGGCAAATCACTAACTTTTTTAACCCATTCCGCCAGCGTACTTGTTGCGATGCCTTGACTGTTTGTCCCAATCATACCCATTAATGCCTTAAAGGCATCTGCTGTAGTGAACTAAAACGCTTATTAATAACAATATTTTAAATTTTAATACACTGCTTACAGCTGCAAATTCCTCGTCAGCAAATGATCTACAGAATGCCAAAAATAGCTGTTCCATTTGTTGTTCAAAGTTTGCTCCTAACATCTTGTGATATATTTGTTTTTCCGCGTTTACTATTACTGATTGAAAAGATTGGAGTGACTCGAGGAACTGCTGTTTGTTATTACTTTGCTTATACATGGCCATCAAACGCACAATTAACATAATAGTACCTGTCTCCGGTGGGTAATGCATTTTTCTAAATACATACAGTGTAAATCGAGATTATAAAATTTAATTGTATTTCGACTGCTGAGTGGAACCTCGACCTATCTAGGCAGCCAGTTCGAAAACGCCCTATCTCAAAAAAAGTTTCAATAATGCCCTATTTCGGAATTTGGTTGAAGAACGCCATATTTCAGAATTCGTTTCAAAAACGCCCTATATCAGCACATTTTCAATACATTTTGAAGTGAAATGGGGCAGTTTTGTACCGAATTCTGAGATAGGGCGTTCTTCACCCATATTCTGAGATAGGATGTTTTTCAAAAAAATTCTGAAATAAGGCGTTCTTGAACAGTTTGTTGAGATAGGTGTTTTCAAACTGGCTGCCGAGATAAGTAGGTTGATCTTCCACTCAGCAGTCGATTTGCTAATTTTTTACCACTTACTTCCATATTTCATTTAATACATTAATTGGATGTGTATCATCGGAATGAAAGGCGCCCAAACAAGCAACACGATGATACTTATTTAATGCCTCTATACGACAATCCTCGGAACAGTAGCGTACTTTGCAACGCTCACATTTTGTAAACTGCTGTAACCAAGGTTTGGTTGGATCGTGTTCTATCAGAGGGACTACTAAAGCTTTGTTATTCGCTAAGCGGCGCACATTTTCCGTAACTGTTTCGAGTGGACGCATACAGTGATCACAAGCTGCATACCCGTACGCGGCGTTCCAAGAAAATTGGCGCGACACAAAGGGCTCCTCTTCAAAGATAGTTTCTCCAACAGCAAATGGTTTTGTCGAGATCATCGCACGACCCTAATGAACAACCAAATCAGAAACTTTGATTACACACCAAAGCAGTGCTTTTAATGAAGTTTGTACTTACTTTTCCTGGTATTTCCCTAATTTCGAAAGAATACATTGTCGCGAGATTTCAAAACGGATGTCCTTTTTTATAAAATGTATTTAGTTTTTCCTTTCGAATAGGGTATTTTACTTAAAAGTCGCCACCGGTGTGATTGTTTTGATTTGATATCAATCAAAAACATGTGCAATGGGTACAGGGTGACAGCGACAAAAAATGCATGC